AATGCTGACAAACCTCGGCTTGCGCTTGATCATCTACTTCGCCCCCCCGCCCTCCCCCCCCACATCCAATCCCGACCCCTCCCCGAAAAAGCAGAAAGGTTAGACACATACTACTTCTGGCTGACGGCCGAGAAGTGCCCTGACATCCTGGCCGTGTGCGACCAGATGCTCCCCGACGGCACCGCGAGGGAGAGTACGGGGGTGGAGACCGCGGGAGACGGACACAGTGGTGCCCAGGGCGCTTCGGCGGATGCTAGTAAGCGGAAGGTCGCGAAAGTGGAATCCAGGGAGAGGAACGTGGGCGTCAGTGGCCACCAGGAGAAAAAGAAGAAGCAGGACGCGCAGATCGAGAACACGGCGAAGGTCGCTATGTCCGCGGTGAAGGGGGAGCTCGGCCTTGACGCCCTGTTCGGAACGTCGTCCGCACCCACGTACGCCGACGCCCCGACATCCTTCTACGACACGAAGGAGGGGTTAGAGAACAAGACGGCGAAACTCGAATATATCGCCAAGCTCCGCAAAGAACTCCAGGAAATCAAGGAGGACATCAGGAAGGAGAAGGAGCTGGGTTCGGACGCTGACGAAGAAGATCTACAGCTCTTGCGGGACTGGGCGACGACCGTGAGGGCCCAAATCAGAAAAGAAACGGCGGCAGCTAGTGAGGATGGCTAGGTAGCCGGCACGTGGGTGCGTGGGGCGCGGGCGGTTAGCACCTATCTGTTGTGGATGGCGCCGGCTGTGCTGGTGTCTTCTCAATACTTTTTAACTTCCTCCAATATCACGTGTGACCAATACCATGTTTGGTGGGGTCTTTGGCTGCATCTTGACGTAGAGATGCATGTTGGCGTAGCCTTTTATTTTTTTCTAGTTGACACCTAATATTCGCTCGGATGGGCCACAACAACACGTAGGGATGGAGACGTTTGGCGGCAGGGCAGGGTAGATGCGAATCGAAGTGGTGTTTTTTTGTGGTGGTGGCGTACAAGATTAAAGAGATGCAACTGGACCGTCCGTTGCAGACCCTTATTTTCCGTAAGCGTAATTTCCCGGCAGCACAACTATGTGTATGCCGTTTGTTTCCCGCGCGGCACTTCACCACCTCACCCTTTACGCCATTCTGGCATAAGCGAGAGAGTATTATTTGGTAATGTCGTAGTGTGGCTGCATCGTTCCTTGTGTTGTTGTGCCTTCGTTGCTTTCTTCGGCAGCGCCCACAAGGCACGGCAAGGAGATGTAATGTTGTGTTGCGACAAGGCACGATGTTTTTTTTCCGTCGTGCATGGTTGGTCCGGCGATTTTTCGGCGGCGGCTTGCTGCCATGCCCTATGCCTACCAATGTGGGGATGCAGGATATTTTGTGCGTTGCATCACCGCGGAGGTGGAGTGTCGCCGCGTTAGTCTTGCTGTTTGTAGCGCCGTTGTGGGGCTGTTTGTACGTCTTGTTGTGTGGTTGCGTTTTTGTTCTTGGCAGCACCCAGAACAAGGCAGGGAGATGTGACCATTTATACAGACGTCTCGTCGGGCGGGGCGAATGAATCCCGTTTTTTTTTTCTTTCACTGTCTTGGCTCGGTGTTTTTTTCTGCTTTCACCGTCCATATCCATCGTCTGCATGGTTGATCCGACGTGGGGATACAATCAAAATGTCAATGCGGTCCACACGAATTTAAAGAGCACCACGCATAAGATCTCAAACCAACGGCATGGTATTTCTCCCTGCGCGGTCGGTACTTGCACATGTCTGATAACCACGCTGGCCGCTACGCGCTCAAAGACCGAAGAGTATTCTAAGGGTGCTTTGGCCCCGGATCGCTAACGGGCGACAAATCAGCCCCTTCATTGCTTGGGGGTAACACTTTTTACCGACAACAGGAAATCCCGCGCGCAGCAACGAACGAAAAATTTTTCGCCGAGAGAAAGGGACCGCTCATTCTCCAAACACTACTGCGAATTGCAGCACACGTCTCGCATTCATCGGAGGGACTTTTGTCGCAAAAATAAATGGGAAACCGAAAGAGTAAAGGGCACACAAATACGCACATGCTCACACGACAAGACACGTACGCCCCTAAGCCCCTTCCTGTCAAGGGCAGGTCAATATATCACGGTACCCCCCGTGTCTCCACAACGAACCCCGAGTACCCGACCACCTCATCCCAGCCCTATCTGGCCACTTCATGTGTTCCTCGACCCTTTTTCTCCCTCCCCGAATATGCCCTACTTTCAAGCACCGTAGTCCAGAGCGGGTTCAACCCGCACAGAGCCCCTTCCGCCTGTCAGCCCTCGATGACTACAGTGCCTCGTTGCGCTGCAGGTTGAATAGAGGGCGGTATTGTCGCCTGTTGTCCAGTAGCATCCTCAGCGCCAGGCGGGTGGGGACGTCTCCCGACCTCGTCGGCTTCGGCACCCCCGTGTCGGTTGTTCGAAAGTCTTCCGGCAGTGTCGTTTTCCGTCAGATGGGGACGGTCGCGCCCGGTCTCCGTGTCTTCCTCTGACTTGTGGACCGGCTTCACTTGCTCGTCGCGGAGGTAGTTGTGCCGACGAAAGAGGGTCGTGATAAGGGCGCTGCGGCCTGCGAACTGAACCCGCAACGGCCTCCACAAAATCCNAATGCCTCGTTGCGCTGCAGGTTGAATAGAGGGCGGTATTGTCGCCTGTTGTCCAGTAGCATCCTCAGCGCCAGGCGGGTGGGGACGTCTCCCGACCTCGTCGGCTTCGGCACCCCCGTGTCGGTTGTTCGAAAGTCTTCCGGCAGTGTCGTTTTCCGTCAGATGGGGACGGTCGCGCCCGGTCTCCGTGTCTTCCTCTGACATGTGGACCGGCTTCACTTGCTCGTCGCGGAGGTAGTTGTGCAGACGAAAGAGGGCCGTGATGAGGGCGCTGCGGCCTGCGAACTGAACCCGCAACGGCCTCCACAAAATCCCCCACTGCCCCACGAGGATGCCGTAAGCTTGCTCGATCTTCACTCGCAGTTGGCTCAGGTGGAAGTTGAACGAGTCTTCGTCTCGTGGCAGCAACTTCCCCGGGTATGGCGTGAGGAGATGATCGCTGAGAGGGTACGCCGCCTCGCCTAGCACGTAGAACCCAGGTGGTAGGCGCGCCACCGAGTCTGACAGCGAAGAACGATTCCATGCTGTCCAGTCATTCGTCGCACCGGCCGAAATGGCCGACATGCTGCAGAAGCGGTAGTTGGCGTCACAGGTCGCCTGGATGTTCAACCCGTACCCACTCTTGTTCCCGGAAAAGTAGGAGAGCACGTTCGGGGTATCCACCGGAGACGGGGCGATGGTCTTGACGAACAGGCCATCTCCAGCAGCAACACAACCGGAGAATACGCCGCCGGTGCTCTTGGCCTGCAAGGGAGGGATGAGTGTTCCGGAAAAAGAGAGTCGGCAAGAGGCGACAAGAGAGCCGGCGGCGGTGGGAGGTGGGGCACGGGCCATCAGCGATCGTTTTGAAGAGAATCGGACCACAGCTTGGACAGACATGCAGGCGAGTGGGCTCTTCGGTCGTTCCACTCATCGGTAAAAACGTGTACCCATGCAAAAAGTGCACCCATATAAAAAAAAAGACTTGTCTGCACGGGCGGGGTGTTCGAGAACGAAATGGATCTGAGATCGCTGCGGTGGTCGCATGTGGTTCGCAGACCGGTAGAAGATATTCATGGGACCAGGTTGCTTAGTTTCTCGAGGCCTCGCTTCTCCCTCCTTCTGTATCCTCTAAGTTTTCTACTACACGAGATGAGCCACAACTCAATCCGGGGAACTCAACTCGTTGCCTCTCGCTGTACTATGTCGCAGTCGGAAACAAGGCCGGGGGCGACAGCGCAACCGGGTGGGTGACACGAGATGGAACCCGCGTGCTTCGGGTTTCGATTGAAGAAGGAGTATGGCCGAATGCTGTTGCTGAAGGAAGAGTACAAAACAAAACACGACACTATATGAAGTTAACCCTTGTCTTCGCGATGACAGGAAAGATACCCGCCTTACCGAAAAAAAACGAGGGCGCGGTACAATTAGGCGGTGAAGTCATCCATGATGAGGACACAAACGGATAAACACGAAAACAATACCACACACACGTTTTACCCACCTCCCACTCCTTCGCTTGCCGCGCGCAATCATCCTTTGTCTGAGGGAAAAAGAACGCCCCGACCTCCGGCGTGTTTTTGATCGCGTCCACCACTTCCCACAAGACGTGGAATACAGTCTCCTTTGCAATGCCGAACAGCACCGCGACATCTAGGTATGATGCTCCTGCCAGCATGCGCAACGCCACCGCCAAACGAATTTTTACCGGCACAGCTCCGCTGCGCGTGCGCTTCCCTGCATCCCATAAAACAAAACAATGGCAGCATGACACCATGTGTAAGCTACATACGTGGAGGCGCAACCAAGCACGTTGTAGACTATCCGTGTCATTCAACGTGCCCACGTTCCTAACCCTCTGGGGGGCGTTGCATGATAGCGTATGTCGGAGGTCGTTCGTGGTGCCGGAAAAAAAAAAGTTCGGCCGGAATTGGTAGCTAGAAGTTGGACACAGACATGCCCAGCATCGAGACAGGCTTCAAAACCGCACAACACGCATACCCGAGAAAAAGCAATTCCGCCCCCGCCACCTACAAGGTCTCTCTCGCTCTATTCCTAGCCCTCCTTCTGTCCCTCTCTCTGTCGTTCCTCTCGCTCACTTGCATAGAAGTCGTTGCTCTCCAGGATTGGTCGCAGCAGCTCCGCAAGTTTGTAAGCCGTGCTCCTCCATCCGGTACATGCGCCTGAACACCCTCCTGCGCTTGATGTCTCTCACATGCGCTCTCCCCGGCACCTTGCATCTCCCGGGTCTGCTTCCGCGTGCGGCTACTCTCAAGCCCATGGCGCAGCGGGCCAGCATTCGAGGCGCCCCAGAGGAGTTTCTTCCCTTCTAGCTCCCGGGGGTAGCGGTCGTCGGCTGGATGATACTTCATCTCCTCGAGGTTCTCGGAGTCGCCAGGATCACCATCGCTACCGCAGTCCCCACCTGGGTTGCCGGACTCTTCGCCGCCCGGGCCGCCGGCACCGCCGGCGTCACTGCTGCTGCTGCTCGGGCTGCTGCTGCTGTCGTTGAGGCTGTCACTGCCTCCGCCGAAGTCGCCCCTTCCCGAAGGGGGCGACGGGGGAACGCTGCCTCCGTCCCCCGGAATCCCGTTGCCGGGTGCCGTCGGCGCCTCCTCGCGCACAAACGGCGTCGCTTGCCCTGGCCCACGACCCTCCAGCACGTCGAGGTCGGACTCACTTTCTGAGTCTCTCTCCCCCCCCCCAACCTTGGCGTGACGATCCGCTCTGCTCTCGCCCGCCCCTCCCTCCTCGTCATCTGCGAGGGGTAGCAGCTGCGGGGGAGCGGGCGACGCAGCGGGCACGTGGCGCCAGGTGAAATTGCGGGTGGTGATTACGGTTCCAGCTTCGGTTAGCATACGAACGCAGTCACGGGGGTGATTGTGAGCCGGACCACGGTGCCATGCTTTTTCGCCCTTGGGTTGCGACTTTGCTTTTCTTCCCGACTTGAACACGACTGGTTTGAGAAACGGGCATGTAGACCCGACAGGCAAGGAGGAGTCGTGGAACATCTCGTTGGCGGATTTGTCTCCCTCGTTTGACTTAGTGGCGGTGCAGTTCAGCTGATGGCATGCACATGAAATGGCCACAACCCCAGGTGGTTCAGTGCGTCGGGGAACAGTTGCGTCGCTTGTATGCGTGACGCAAGCGCGGCATCAGTGATCAACCCTAGCGCTCTCTCCGCTACACCGTTGTATTTTGGGATGTGAGGGAGGGTGAACTCTTGTTTGATGCCGTGTCTGCGGCAAACTTCCGCAAACTGCCCCTGGAACTCGCCGCCACCGTCGGTACGTGCGATATAAACCTCACACGGAACCCCTTTCGTTCGGTAGTCCGCCAGGAACTTCTCAAACCCAACCGCTGCGTCAGACTTGTGTTTCAAGAAGAAAACACGCGTCCAACGGGAGAAATCGTCTCTGATGATCAATGTGTGCCAGTTGCCACCAATGCTCCTGGTTTTCATCTTTCCCGCCACGTCGAGATACACGCGAAATAGCTTCTTGACTGCGCGTGTGTTCGTGCTCTTTTGGACGGGCTTCACCTGTCCCTTGGACATCGAACAGCCAAGACAGGGTAGCAGTGGTCCATCCGTCAGCTGCACTCCCTGCTGCTCCGCCGTGATCCTAAGCTATGTCTTTCGGGCATGGCCGTGCGCGAGGTGGTACTCGTTGAGGTCAGTGGGGTTGGCTGCTTTCGCATCGCCAGGAACAATGAGTGCGGCACAGGCGGTGTGTAGCGTTGGCTTTATTTGATAGCCTCGTTGGGTCAGCAGCTTTCCAGTTCGGGGGAACCACACCTCCCCCCCGGCTTTCGTGGTCAGCGTGAGGCCCCCTTCATCCCCGAATACGTGTGGCCCTCCTCCGCCAACGAAGACAGCGAGAGGAGGTTGTAGGGGGCCTCTGGTACATGGGCAGCATTCAGTACTGGTACGGGTACTCCACCATCTTCCGTCTGTAGGACTAAGGTCACATTTCCGTATCCTAGAAGAGGAACGGGGGCCTTGTCGCCTCCGATCTCCTTCACCCAACCGCTACGCTCACGGTACTTCACGAAGTTGTCTGCACATCGGAACATGGAGCACGTGGCCGCTGTGTCGGCCACGTGCACCGCCTGGCCTTGTTCCACAACCCCCACTAGACCTACTTCACCAACGGTACCACACTCGCCCGTGGGGACTGCCACGGCACAAAACGCTGGTCTTCCACGGAGTCCATGTCGCTCTCATGCTCCACCACTTGCGCTAGGACGGCCTCCTCCGTCGCGCACTTTTCTTTGGTGTGGCCCCACCCCTCGCAGCGCGCACACCACGGCACGAAGTCCTTCTCGTTGGTAGTGCAGCCGATCGCTTGATGTCCACGATGTCCACACCTAAAGCACCGGCCCGGGAACTTATAGTCCCCGCCACCGCCGCCATCGGCGTCGCCATTGCTTCTTCCCTTGCTCTCCTCGACTCCTCCGAATCCGCCTGAGCGGCCGCCGCGACCGCCGCCGCCGCCGCCGC